ATACTGTACTATACTATACTGTACTATACTATACTATACTGTACTGTACTGTACTATACTACACTGTACTGTACTATACTGTACTATACTGTACTGTACTATACTGTACTATACTGTAATGTACTGTACTATACTATACTGCACTATACTATACTGTACTATACTGTACTATACTATACTGTACTATACTGTACTGTACTGTACTATACCATACTGTACTGTACTATACTATACTGTACTGTACTGTACTATACTATACAGTACTGTACTGTACTGTACTATACTATACTATACTGTACTATACTATACTGTACTATACTGTACTGTACTATACTATACTATACTGTACTATACTATACTGTACTGTACTGTACTATATTGTACTATACTATACTATACTGTACTATCCTATACTATACTGTACTATATTGTACTATACTATACCATACTGTACTGTACTATACTGTACTGTACTGTACTATACTATACTGTACTGTACTATACTATACTATACTGTACTATACTATACTGTATTGTACTGTACTATACTATACTGTACTATACTATACTGTACTGTACTGTACTATACTGTACTGTACTGTACTATACTGTACTATACTATACTATACTATAATGTACTGTACTGTACTATACTATACTGTACTATACTATACTGTACTGTACTATACTGTACTGTACTATACTATACTATACTGTACTGTACTATACTATACTATACTATACCGTACTGTACTATACTGTACTGTACCATACTGTACCATACTGTACTATACTGTACTGTACTATACTGTACTATACTGTACTGTACTATACTATACTATACTGTACTGTACTATACTATACTATACTGTACTATACTGTACTGTACTATACTATACTATACTGTACTATACTGTATTCTAGTATACTATACTATACTGTACTATACTGTACTATACTATACTATACTATACTATACTGTACTGTACTATACTATACCTTACTATACTGTACTATACTGTACTGTACTATACTATACTATACTGTACTATACTGTACTGTACTATACTATACTATACTGTACTATACTGTACTGTACTGTACTATACTATACTGTACTATACTGTACTGTACTGTACTATACTATACTATACTGTACTATACTGTACTATACTGTAGTGTACTATACTATACTGTACTATACTGTGCTATACTGTACTGTAATATACTATACTATACTGTACTGTACTATACTGTACTGTACTATACTATGCTATACTGTACTATAGTGTACTGTACTATACTATACTATGCTATACTGTACTATACTATACTATGCTATACTGTACTGTACTATACTGTACTATGCTATACTATACTATACTGTACTATACTATACTGTACTGTACTATACTATACTGTACTGTACTATACTGTACTACTCTACTGTACTGTACTGTACAATACTGTACTGTACTATACTATACTGTACTATCCTATCCTATACTGTACTGTACTATACTATACTACACTATACTAGAACAGTAGTATATGAACAGAATGGGGATTTATTCAGACATGAAGATGAACTAACTGATGTAATTTTCCAGAACATATATGAAAATGGGGGTCCTCATATTGAGCAAAAAAAATCAGACTAAAATAGTGTATGTTTGCCTCCTATATGGAATCGGTGTGTACATATATGTGTGTCTGTCTGTCTGTGTCTCTATGTGTGTGTCTGTATGTTTGGGTTTGTATATGTATATATAGGTATATGTATGTGTGCATATACATCTATATAACATACATACTCATGACATAAAGTAGAAAGAGACTGGGTAGGAATAGAAGACTGGTGGGAGTGAGAACAGAGGCAAAAGAGTAACAAAGGTGAATATGGTCACAGTACAGGATGTACCTGAGGAACATGTCATTGTAAACTCATCACATTGTGCAATGGATAGAAACTTACAAAAATGTTTGACGTGAATTTTCTGTGGGATGAACGGATATAAAATATTGGGTAGAAAGAAGAAAGACAATAAGGAGGCTGGGTGAAAGGTGAACTTGGGGTGACAGAGAAGGAACGGGATTTGGAAGGCAGCTATGCACACCACTATACCACCAACGCAATGAAGGAACAGGATTTGAAAAGTGTTTTCAGGACACAAATGAAGTTTGATAATGAGCCATATGAGAACTGAGAGCAAAAGAGGATCCCTGAAGAATTCTAGTACAAAGGGGACAGATGCACTCTCTGTTGACACAAGGACTTATGTGAGGAGAATGCAAGGATGCTTTCCAATCTGGGGCTTTGTTGAGATGTGTGATAAATGTGTGCAAAGATAAATTTCAAATATTTCATTGGATATATAGTTCTGAAGATCATAGAGGATTTCTCAGCTGCAGCAGTAAAATTAAAATCCATCATCAAATGTTGCATAGAAGTGGATGTCTAAGGATGAGCAGACCCACCAGCATTCCTGTATGCCAACTGCTCACATAAAAGCTCATCATGTGTCATCCCATTTTCTACCCTACACGGGATGTCTTCCTCCTGCCTCCTCATGTCCATCTTCCCATCTTTAACCCATGCACACTTGATGTTTTCTATCCCAAGTTCTCTATCTCAACTATGTTCCCAACTGGAACTTCCACGACCCTGTGCACTTTGTTCCCCACACCTGAAACATGTCCCAACTCTTAAAACCCAAGACATCCCTAAAGGCCAGAAGTTCTAAGATATAAATAAATAAGTCCCCTCCACCAAGAAATCTGGCACTGCTGTTTCTGAGTTCTCTTCTGTTAATGTTTCCTGCATTCTCCACTGGACGGATGGCTGATCAGAGGGGGCACTCTGATGACAAAGGTTGGTGGGACAGATAAGAGTAGTACTCGTCCCTCACCAAGGAAACTTCATGACACAACAGATGAAGACCACTACACATCACATCACATCACATCATATCACATCATCACATCACATCACATCACATCACATCACATCACATCACATCACATCACATCATCACATCATCACATGCCATCACATTATCACATCACATCATCACATCACATCACATCACATCACATCACATCACATACACCACTACAAACACAACAAACCAAAATGCAGAGTTGTGCAGCTCAGATGCAATGGCTGCATCTACAAAACAACCCCTACATTGTGATACAGTGGGGAGGAAAGAGTGTAAGAACCAAAGCATGAGGGAGTTTGTTGTGAGACTGTGTCTCCTACTAATGTCAGAGGCAACACACATAAAGTTTCACCAACATGACTGCTTAAACATGAGCTGGACAAGGACAACAAAACAGACATATGAAAGTGGATGGGAGAAAGACCACGAGGCCTCGACCCTACATAAATAACTACAGGGAACTGGAAATTCTGAGAGGGGGAGAAATGGTCTTCCCCAGAGAGGAGAACACCAATTGGTTATCAAATACCAAATAGTCAGCTCTGAAAACATTCAACAACATTATACAGACTGAGGAGGGTATATTAGAAATATATACATGGATATACATATATGGATGTAACAACAATTAATGTAAAAGGAAGCCATGGATTTGAAAGAGAACAAGAGGGTACATGGGAGCATTTAGAGGAAGAAAAAGGAGAGAGGGAATGACATATTATATCATAATCTAAAAGGAAAAAGAAAAAACAGATGATCTCTTGAGATCTGAAAACCACCTTCAATGGGGAAACTAGCAGATACTATTTCAATTGTTCTGTCCTGTTGGATAGTGATTTATTTGTCACACACACAACTCAGAAAGCAACATGGGAGGATAACAGTCAGCAATCACGTGGAACACCGTCGTTCAGAAAGGTTCTCATTATAGATAGGTAAGGACTTCTATTCCCCAGATGAATATTCTTGTATCTACCCCAAAATAATATAATTAACACGTAATGGTCAGAGTCCATAGTGCAAATGGAGCAATTCCAGTCAGAATAGCAGTGTGGTGTGCAACACACAGCACACAGGAGACATGCAATGATATTGGCATATCTCACATGGCATCCCTTGAGGACTCTCTAAGCACAGAGATAAGGAACAAGAACCAGATGGATTTACCTGGGATTGAAAACTCAAGTGGATCACTAGGCAGTGACCACAAGTAGGAATTGTGTTTCTTAGAGCCAAAGCATCTGTAGATCCTCCTATGCCCTGGGCTCACAGGGGAGATGAGGAATGTGTTGTGGTCCTGCCGTGAGCAGTTCTGGGGAAAGGAAGCATTTCCATCTCTGCAGAGGATGAAGATATTAAAGGAAACATGTATGTGGCAGTGGAGAGTTGCATTGATTTCTGAGGATCCCTGAGGTCCTGAATCAACAGTAAGAGATGGCTTCTCCTTATAAACACCTGGAAGAAAAAGACCCTGATATTAGTTGCTTGTGGTGGCACATTCCTTTCATCTGAACACTTCATAGGCAGAGGCAGGTGTATTGTTGTGAGTTTAAATTAACTTGCTCTATATCGAGGTTTCAAGGCCAGACTGAGTTACATGGTGAGACACTGTCTCAAAAAAATTACAAAAAGAACCTTGTCTTAGTTAGGACTTCGGTTGATGCGATGAAAAAACATGACCAAAAGCAAGTTGGGGAGGAAAGGGTTTATTTGGCTTACACTTCAGCATTGCTGTTCATCACTGATAGAAGTCGGGACAGGAACACAAGCAGGGCAGGATGCTAGAGGCAGGAGCTGATGCAGAAGCCATGGACAGATGCTGCTAACTGACTTGCATCCCCTGGCTTGATCAGCCTGCTTTCTTAAAGAACCCAACATCAGCCTGTAATGGCACAACCCATCTTGAGCTGGGCCCTACCGCATTGATGACTACTTGAGAAAATGCCTTGCAGCTCTATCTCATGAAGGCATTTCTTCAACTGAGTCTCCTTCCTCTCTGATGATTCTAGCTTGTAACAATGGACACAAGTTGACCCTAAACTAGCCAGTACAACTCTGTTATTTAAAACATGATGAAAATTAGCCTACATTTCACAGACTCTGACCAGAGAGAAGAAAAGATGAAGACGAATGGAAACATCCATTGCCAATCTAGAGGGATCACAAAACATGTTTGTATCATTTTCCATGAACCAGGACCATAGAGAGTGTCTATGTATATACAGAAGGCTGCTGTCAATTCCCATGAACTCGATCCTTTAGGAGATATAAGTACTATTCTGAAAGGAACCGAGAACAAGGTCAGTGCAGAGGGAGGGTCACAAATCAAAATGGAGGGTCTGGGGATGAATCTTGGTCAAGTTCTTGCCTAATATACACAATGCCCGGGGGTCTATAACCATCATCATATGAATGGTGTCATTGTCCAGGTCAATCATGACAGCACTAGGAGACTAGAAGCAGAGGGGTCATAAGTACAAGATTTGTTTGGATACACAGCAAGGTCAAGGCCAGACTGAGATACTTGATAACCTGTCTCCAAAACTGCCAAGAAAAATGGAAATTAAAAAGGAAAGGATGAAATGAGAGAAGAGAAAGAGAGTGGTAGGGGAGGGCAGGAGAGGTGAAGAGAGAAGGGGAAGGGGTAAAAAAGAGATGAGAGGAGAGGGAAGAGATCCATATATGGGAGCAGAGACACAGGGCAGGACCTGTGATGGGGCAAATGTGGTTCAGTGAGGTAGGCATCAGAGACTGAGTCTGAAGGACAGTGTGCTTGGGCAGTTACTCACCTGTCACCACCAGCTCCAGTTTGTCACTAATTTGTGGTGTGTCGCCTCCCTTGGAGTATTCACAGTAGTAAACCCCAGCACTGCCTTGTGTCATATTCTGCAGACTGAATTCAAACACCTCCTGGGCTCCCTGTGGAGTACGATCAAACCACTTTCCATCCGGTACAAAATGGGTTAGACGCACAGTATTCACTCCTGGAGGAGTCCTGCAGAAGATGGTCACAGCACTGCCTGTGGAAATCACAGCTCCTGGAACTGCCCAGATGGAAGGCTGGGGTGGTGGCCCTGAAGAGACACAGGAAAAGAGAGCTAGTCATCTGATGTCGAGAGGGCCAGGTTCCCAAGGAGCTATAGAGTAGCTCCCACAACAATTACTAACCAAGAAAATGCCCCACAGACATGCCCACAGGCCAATATGGTGGGGGCAATTACTCAGTTGATGTTCCTTCTTCCCAGAGGACTCTAGCTTGTGCCATGTTGAAAGAAAACTAACCAGCACACCTCCAGAGAGAAGTCTCACTGTTTTCACAATTGATCTTCAGACATAGTTCTCACATAGTGACTGTGTGTGTGTGTGTGTGTGTGTGTGTGTGTGTGTGTGTCTTTGTGTCTGTATGCATGTGCATGTTTGTATTTGCATGAGTTGAAACTAAGAAGGGGATCATTAGAAAAATGAAACTCAGGATCCGTAGGAAATTGAAAGTGTAATGAGATTACGTAACAGGAAAGCAGCAATGTGGACTATTCTGGGGAGAAAAAAACAGCAATAATAATAACACATGTGGCTGTGAACAGAGATCTGAGTGCTGAGATTAAAGGTGTGTGTGTGTGTGTGTGTGTGTGTGTGTGTGTGTGTGTGCCATCACACTTGGCCTGAATTTTAATTTAAAAGCTAATTGAGACAGTCAGTCATGACACATGACTTTAATGCCAGCACTTGAGAGGCAGAGGCAGAGGCAGGTGGATCTCTGAGAGTTTGAGGCCAGCCTGGGCTACAGAGTGAGATCCAGGACATCCACGGTTACACAGAGAAACCCTGTCTCAAAAAACCAAAACAAAAACCACATGATTAAAAAGAAAGAAGACAAAAGGCTGGTGAGATGGCTCAGTAGATAAGCATACTTTCTTATACTTGTAGCTTGAGGATCTGAGTTCAAATCTCAAGCATCCACACACATACAAGCATACATGGAAGCATGGCTGTACATACTTGTAACACTAGGGAGTGTGGACAAGAGAGACTCAAGAGCCCAGTGATTCAGCCAGCTGAACCAAATCAGCAAGTTTCAGGTTAGGTGATAGATCCTATCTCAGGGAAATATGGTGGAGGGTGGGAGAGGAAGACACTTGGACACCTTGCTCTGGACTCCTCCTGTGTGCATACACACCCACACCCTTGTGTACATGCACACACACAAACCACACACCACTCACATTGTGGTTTAAATGTGAAAGAAGAGAAAAGCAGAAGTGGGAAGAACTACGGGGAGGAAGGAAAACAGTTGGCAGCAGAGAAGGGACCCGGGAGAGGGAAGAGGGGGAGGGCAACCGTGAGAACCAAGAAGAACGGCACATGTGAAAGATGCTTGAGGAAAATACTTTCTGTGCCCTTGTAGATGTAACAGTCTTATTAAATAAGAAACACGGAGTCAAACAGAGTTAAAAGCCCAAAAGGTCTGAGCAGTAGCTAAGAGCTGAGACTAAAACCACCTTCTTACCCTTCGCTGCCACTGCCATCCTTCCCCTGAGAAAGAGACCTACTTCCTGTGTGTCTGTCTTTTTATTGACTTTCTGTTCTGCCTTCTCATTGGTTGTAAACCCAACCACATGACCTCCTCATCACTTCCTGTACAGACCTCCAGGTCTTCTATGGTTGGTAGTGAGATAAAAGGTGTGTGTACCATGCTGGCTGTGTCCTTGAACACACAAACTCTGCCTGCCATGTGATCAGATTAAAGGCGTGCACCACAACCGCCCTGCTTCTGCTATGGCTTGCTATTATTTCTGACCCCCAGGTAACTTTATTTATTAACATACAAATAAAATCACATTTCAGCACAAATAAAATATCACTATATGTTCTAATAAAAAAACTCGTGTTATTAAAAAGAAAATGCACTTGTGTTGGTGGTTGGCAGGATGTACCTGGGAGACAAGGTTCTGGGCATGTCTGTGAGGGGTAGTCCAGATTCAGGTTGTCTCTGGCCCTGCCTGTGAGAGAGCAGACTGATTAGATTCACTGAGGTGGGAGCACCCACCCTAAAAGTGAGAAGCACCATTCTCAGGGCTTGGGTCACTGCATTAAAAAAGGAGAAAGGTAGCTGAGCTCAGGCAGCTTCAGCCTCTGCTGATGCGATGTGACCACCTGCCTCAAATTCCTGCCAACATGCCTTCCCACCATGATGGATGCACCTTGAGTCCCTCAAAATGCAATAAAGTAAACCGTGACTTCCTTAAGTTGCTTTAGTTATGTGTTTCATGCAGCAATAAAAAGACTATACTATACTATACTGTACTATACTATACTGTACTGAACTATACTATACTGTACTATACTATACTATACTGTACTGTACTATACTATACTGTACTATACTATACTATACTGTACTGTACTGTACTGTACTGTACTATACTGTACTGTAATATACTATACTATACTGTACTGTACTATACTATGCTATACTATACTGTATGATACTGTACTATACTGTACGATACTGTACTATACTGTACTGTACTATACTGTACTATACTATACTGTACTGTACTATACTGTACTGTACTATACTGTACTGTACTATACTATACTGTACTATACTGTACTATACTATACTGAACTGTACTGTACTGTACTATACTGTACTATACTATACTATACTGTACTGTACTATACTGTACTATACTATACTATACTATACTATACTATATAATACTGTACTATACTATACTGTACTGTACTATACTATACTGTACTATACTATACTGTACTGTACTATACTATACTGTACTATACTATACTGTACTGTACTATACTATACTATACTGTACTATACTGTACTGTACTGTACTATACTATACTGTACTGTACTGTACTATACTATACTGTACTATACTGTACTGTACTGTACTATACTATACTGTACTGTACTAT